TGTGTGTGAGTGTGAGTGTGTGTGTGTGTGAGTGAGTGTGAGTGTGTGTGTGTGGGTGGGTGGGTGTTGTAGGCAGAACGTCCTGCGCAGGGTTGTATAAATAACAAATAAATAAAATAACATTTCTGTTGCGTGAAATAAAATAAATATCAACTGAAATAAAACATAAAAAAAAACTAAACTTATTTTATTTAAGCTAGCTGCCAAGGAAACATCTCATTTCCATTCAGTTAAAATTTTTATACTAAAATAACTAAAAATATAAAATATACTACTATAACTCTAAACTATAAAACTACTAAAACTACAAATATAAATTATATAAGCATAAAAAATGATAATGATAAAAATGAAAAAAAAAAAGAGAAAATATAAAAATCTTATTTAAAATATTAATAAAAACTATAAGCGAGACTAAAATAAGACTGGTGCTTTCTTGTTAAAACATGATCAGTTCTGATCCCAATTCCATAAATTGGATTCTGTGTTAAAATAAACATATTTTAAAATAAGCACATAAATGGATATTCAGACATGCACATCCGCATAATGTCAAGATTATTTGAGATCAATAAAGTAGGACGGATTTTTTTATTTTTTATTATTATTTTTTTATTTATAAATTATTTGCACAGAACATCTAGATTATTATAATTGGTTTCTATTTAAGATGATTATAGAAATCATCTTAATAAATGAGATCTCTGATTCATCAGTACATCAGTGTTATTTTAGTATCATTGATTTACTATCAGTTTTGTTAAATAACATTTTTTAAATAAGATTTATTACTATTATTTTAATTTATTTTCTGTATTCATTTTAATTTTAGTTAAAGTTTATTATTATTTAGTTATGTATTTTTATTATTATATTAATATATTTATCCCTTACATAACTAACTGTAATTAGCTACACTGTGTTAGCATTAAGGATAATTAACTATTTTTGACTATTTTAACTACTTTAAATTAAAAGCTGTTTGGCAAGTTTCAAAGTAGCGTCACTAACTGCCCCTTGGGATTTGTTATGCAACATATAAAGGACAGAAAAAACTGATATTTAATACAAATATTTCTGCGCTTACCCTGCCAGATATATAGTAAGCCGTGCCTTGTGAATTGGGGAAGCTGATTGGTTGCTGGGGAATCATCATCATCTGGGAGGGGCCAGGCTGGAACACGTGAGGGGGGCGGGGTCCGTGTGGAGGGGGGATGGGCCGAGGGGCGGGGCTTGGCTGGACACGCCCAGAATTGGCGGGGAAAGGGGGGCGAC